GCATCTTTTTGTATCTTGCACTATCCTCCAAAATCTTAAAAGTCTTTCTGGAGAACTTGTCCACATTGGCAACCGGTGACGAGTAAACACACACACGCACGCACGCACGCACGCACACAAGCTGAAATACTAAAGTCATCAACTGATGAGGTACGCACTAACATAAACATAGATGAAGTATGGAAAGTAGGATGAAATGGATGAAATTATCTTTCTATAACAGATTCACACAATCGGGAAAATTCCTTCTTGACCACCCAAACAACGTAAAAAAGAAAAACCACCCGCAGAATCCCTGACCCCCGGGGGCAACATCATCCGGTCCATTACCATAACATGATCATAAAGATCGAACACAAAACCCTATTGTTATATAATTAACGACCCTCACGTAACAATGTCCAACATCTGTTTGAAGTACCGCAAGGGTTTTTGTTAAAACATATTGTCCTTTTAACGTCAATGTCCCATATTACACGACAGGGGGTCCGAACAGTTAAAATTTATGGTTTAATTGGTTAAACTCATCAGGGGAGAGAATTCTTGTTTAAAGTGGTCCACTAACTGATTCTTTTCGATAAAATTTCGATGTGTTTAACAGAGATAATGGCTGATAAAGGGTATATTAGCCGAGCAATAATATAGGGCCCCATCAGGAGTAGGCTCATAAAATTTATTGCGCTTTTTGAATTCGGCGTTTTGATTATAACAGTGGCAAGGGCTGTAGAGTAGTATCAATTACTGGCAAATTGATAGATAAAGAAATGCCTTAAGTGTTTTATTATCTGTCTGGCAAGTATCACCAGAACTACTGATATCCCGCCAAAAATAAATGAATAAAATGAAAAATACAGAATATATTGTAAAGTATTTATATAAATAATATTAACTTAATTTTTGTTATAATAACTACTTGTATTAAAATGCTTGTATATGCATACGTGTATAATATGCTTTGTTGCTTTTTTCAATTTAAATATATATGTATATCATTTACATTGTCAAATTGAATTAGAGAAAAACAGAATCCCTAAAGAACGTCCAGAATGACAAAATTGAAAATTGTTGCAGACTCGCTTTGATTGAGCCTGTTCATGGACGGTACTGGTATACAAGTTCAAGCTACCGTCCACGCCCACTACAATCGACTTAAGCAGAATTCAACATTAAAACATGAAAAAGTTATTGGAATTCGAGATCAATCCACAAGAAGATTTCTTTCCTCCCTTTTCTTGTAGATGTACTACAAGACTCTTTGTGAAATATGCACATCTATATCAGCTGCATTCAAAATATGAGAAAAAAATTCTCATCCAAAGAAACAAAGTGATAAAAAAAACGTCTTTTGTGTATTGGCGTCTCAAAAAGCATCATTTTAAGGCACAATATACATGTATTTCAATTTGATCAAAATAAGTTCAATTTAATCAACCTACAATTTAAATTAACCAAATAGCTCAATTTGACCAGAATATACATGTAGTACAGTTATCAAATAGCTGTATAGTTCAATCTGATCTATTTATATACTAGTATTCAATTTGATTACAATATTGTTCAATTTTTTCAAAATATAGTTCAATTTTATCAGTTATTTATATAATACAATTTTATCAAAATAAAGTTCAACTTTATCAAAATAAAGTTCAATTTTATTAATATAATGTTCAATTTGATATATACAAAGTTTTATTTCATCATTGTCAATATATTATCATAATCTTATACATTATATTGTAGATGTACTTTTGGAAAGAAAACATAACAAAACAACAGTGATAATAGTCAGCATCCGAGTTTGTTTTAAATAATCTTATATTTTGAAGGACATTTGTTTATCCTGAAAACTTTCAAGTTGCAGACTAAGTAATTTTACCAAAAAAAAAAAATCAGTCAAGATGATTTCGTTTCAGGGGCGTTAAGTCATTTACCGAATTTTTGTTGTCTCCCTTTGTCTGCGCGATACTCATGTTAAGTAAGGGTCTACGGGATCAAATGTCATTCACTTGAATTGTATCTGGTTATTTCTGATTAGTTCATCGAGAATGTTGTCAATTTCGAGACTTGTGCCCAGCCCAATAATGCCCTAGAAAAAGTCTTTTCTTTTTTATTTCTCAAAAACGGTTTATTATTATTTTATTTTTTTTTTGTTCCTGTTTTAGTTTCCACTCTGTAATTCATTGGCCCTTTACCTGCTTCACTTGGTAGAATAGTTTAAGTGATTTAGTATTTTGTATGGAAGTCAAAATACTTTTTTGTTTACATTTTTTTCTACGTTTGTGACAAATAATTTCACATTCAGCACTACTTAAATTTCTTCACGTGATATGCATCCAACATGTTTTTAAACGATTATCCAAACATTTTACAATTCATCTTTGCCCTTTATTTAAAAGAAAAACTTAGTTCTTGGTCCACGTAATTGATCATCCATTTAATTATCGCAATGTTCGAATTGTGTAAGAATGCCAAATAATTTGAATTTGCTTATTTTTATCAAACATAAACTTCTTAGATCTTCTTCACAACTAAAGTATTATTGTAAGCTTTTATTATATATATCTGAACTTTCTGATTGAAATAAGCAATATGTATTCATATATTTAAATAGTGAGCATGATTAAGAAAAGAAAAAGTAAACGGAAGTAGGAGGGGATCAAACCAGAGTTCGGTCATAAACGGCGGCTGTTGTAAAATTACTTTAAAGTTGTGTAGATCAAGATCTGTATGTTGTACAAAAGAATTATCTAACCAGAAAATTTCACCATATTTTACAGCCTGCTCTATCAAAGGATGTTGTAAAATTAATAACAAGAAAATGTGCTAATTGAATAACTTTCATTCATTTCATTCCGCCATCTTGAAAAGATCTTATCACGTGATTAAATCATGTGATCTGCTTGTAGTTAAATTTTATCAACATTTTAATCAATGTTAAATTTTCAAATAACAATATGTAATTGGTGTTAATTGGCATGTAAATGTTCTTTTGAACATGCCGATTTCTTTTTATTGAAAATAATGACCACAGGGGATAATTATCGTGTGACTGCAGCGCGCGCACATTTTATGCTGAATAGAAAATAACAACAATTCTAAGTATCTATGCTTAGATATATGTTTGAGCTCGCAGATTTGAAGTTTGAATCTTTTCTTAACCTCATCACCATCTACTCCTTTTTTTCCTTTTCCAGCAAGTTGTCTTTATTATATAATATTTATATTACTTGACCATCATTTGGGAGAGCCTAGCCACCTAAAGGTCCTTCTTCTACAAATGAATTAATATTTGACTACTTGTTACTCCAGATCTGGTGGAAAATTTAAGCTGATTATTACTGCTTACATGTAATGTGTCAATATTCCAAACAAAAAACAACAGCAGCAGCAACAACAAATGTATACATTACCAGTGACTGACACTATCATTATTTATTCAAGACTGTGCAATTTATATTGTACAATAATATAATTTCCACTACAATGGCCCTTCAAAGTCCAAATGATCCAATAAACCAAAGTGAATGTCAAGTCCACTTATTGTCGTTTTCTGTTTAGAGAATATTTTAACCTTGCAGTCAAAATCCAAAATAAGTGTCCGTGTGTGAATTTTTGTTATTCATTATATTTTGCTAAAATTATTAATAAATAGAATAATTGAAATATAATGTATGCATATTTGTAGGCACAATGTATATTACCAAAGTATTTATGTAACTTTGTGCAACAAATGTGCCATTCTAAAAAAATGAAATGTATTTATATTCTCTACTACTGGGGTATTCTAAATTAGTATATTGATTGGAACTTTCAAAAAAACCTAAGTTAACCCATTTACCTATTTGAACCGAGCATGTCTAGCCTTTGAACCAGGCCAGCATGCACATCTATGCAGTCTGACCAGGCTTTATACTGTTAGGAGCTTCGGTTATATATTTTTATAGTGAAATCTCTAAAACTCCAAATTAACTGTTACAAAATAAAAACAGGGACATTCCAGTATATAAATTCACCAGGTTGATATTATTGCGCCAATAATTCATCAAGTCTGAACGCCGTATTAGCTTGTATTAACCTATCTTAGACAAGTTTCATTAAATTATTTATAGTCACTTATATTGTGGAACCTCGACGTAGAATGATTTAAATTTACATACATGTATATGAACTCATATTTCGTTCAATTCTACCAGACATATTTCCAGTCCGGTCTTAATGCATTAAATTTTATTCACATATAACGAAATGAATTTAGAGGAAAAAAATGTTTAAAATATTCATTTCGGTATATGTATTTTATACCGAATTGTTTTATATTCCACTCGAATTACAGCACATTTATAATTGTCATCAATTTCAAGAAAGTTAAAGCTTTAAAGAGCAAAGCGGACTTCAATAATATGCAAATAAGTACAAAAATATAAGAGAAAATACTCTGTATAAAGTTGTTATAGAGAATTTAATTATACAGAAAAAAAACTCATCAAATTTGTGCAAATTCTCTTAATTAAAAAAAAAAGGTGTTTTTTTGCTATTGATCTATTATCACACTTTTTAGAAGTGCAATCGATAATGTCTTTGGTCAATCTCTTATTTCACGTAATTATTAATTGTAAAACATTTTTTCTACGAGATTTTAAAATGTAATTATAAGATACGCTTGTTTTTAAACATTTTGAATGGAATATTAATGAGACTGTTTTCGTGTAATTAGTCAGTAGACCACATATTAATTTTTACAACCTCAATATCGTGTGAATTACGTGATAATTTCACTTTATTACATGTAATGAAGCTGCGCTCCGCTCATCGATGAAACAAACACCGCCCCCTACGGCGATACTCGTCCATTATTGGCCATTAATTGTCTGTTAGATCGTCGCTGATTGGACAATCATTGATGCGCGAGGGGAAATGTCTCGTTCTGTCATGCGCAGAGCACCGCCCACGATTTTACATAAAAATGGACGTTGTCATTCAAAGGTATCATCATTTCCTATCTAGTATCATATATACAAATAGTGTTTGAAATTGACAAAAAAAAACTATCGAAAGTTGTTTGATATAATAGCGTGACACTTGTGAAAAGATATATCAGTACATTGGACTAAACATATAACTTGGGTGTTAAATCAGAAAAGTGCTTACTTATAATGTTAACTATGAATTGTGAAATATCGCACACAGACTCCAGAACAGACGAACACTCAGATTGCGGAAGTGATTTCGAAAACACATCACACGTTGCAGACTATAGATTGGACACTAACATGTCTCTTACAATGCCGACGAGTGGTCGTGGAATCCGTCGGGATTACGATACTCTTGTTTCGGATGATTCGTCGTGTGAGGGTGACACTGAGCAGAGCCCGCCGGTGAAAAGATTCAAAAGTGAAAATGAAGACCCATCTGACAGTATGTCCTCACAGCATTTCTCTAAAGGTATGTATTAGATTTATAATTACTACAAATTTCATAAATCCTTCAAAACTAATATTTTGGAATGGTCTTGCTTTGATTTTGGATGCATCCATCATAAAATAGTAAATATTTTACAATAGAAATTAAGGATCTGAGCAACCACTTGCACAGAATATGTCAAGCTAAAGACGGGTGGTATGAGACTAATGGACAGTGGTCAGCATTGGATGAATTAATCATAGCTTTACCAAGATTTAGAATTACTATTTCAAATTTAAACTGTCAAAAATGTAAAATTGATATTTTGCATATACTATAATAGGGGGAGGTATATATTTCTGTGATCAGCATTGGAGAGAATTAATCATAGATTTACTAAGATTTGATCAATTTTAGAATAACTGTTTCAAATTTTAACTGTCAAAAATGTAAAATTGATATTTTGCATATTTTGTAATAGCGGAAGTATATATTTCTGTGTCCAGCATTGGAAAGAACCAATCAAAGATTTACTAGAATTTGATCAATTTTAGAATGACTGTTTCAAAATTTAACATTCGTATACGTAAAATTGATAATTTACATATTTTATAATAGGGGAAGTATATATATTAATGTAATCGCATTTCAGAGATATCAGATAGTCTCATACTGCGTATTCTTCACGTTGTTTTAGCAACAAAAATATGTTCAGTTATTTTTCATGATTAATAGTAAACGCTTCAAAGTACAGTAGCTTGTGAAAAGTATTGTAGTATTGTACAGCCTCAATTTTTGACGTGTTTCATACAAAAAAAATCAGCCTCGTCTAGAAAACAATACTTTTTCTTTATTGATTGATTTGCTATCAAACTGTTCGGGTTCCCCATGTGCATTCTATACCAATGACTTGGTAGATATCAGATTTTAATGCGTATACTATTATATTTATCTATTCTTTCGATAAAACGATATCAAAATTGAGATATTTTTTTAAGTTTATTGCAATTGAACATTCTTTAATTATCAAAATTGGAACAGTGAAACATTATATGAAAGAAGAGTGCTCTTCGTGTCAAGGAAAGAAATAAAATCTACAAATAATTATTTTAACATCATTTCCTAAATATAAACAGATTTTATTTATAAAAAATGTTACTACATGAGACTGTCTTATAATAAGTTAAATATTTTATAATGTTCATATTGAAAATTTCAAAGATAAGTCGGCGGGGTATGGATAATGTAAAATATCTAAACACCTTTCTCTCTGACGCCAAAATTCATTTAGTAAATTAATTATTTCTCTTTATTTTTCATAAATTAAGATTAATTTTGTAGATTATTCAGATCTATATGGGTATGCTTTTTGGAAAGAAAATATCAAATTCCCTGTGAAAATTTGAATTAAAGAATCAGAAATGTTCTGTTACATATTTTCTCCTTTTTTAAAGGCCCATTATGCCCCATATTTTTTGTTGTCCTTTAGAAGGGACAAAAATCTGTGGAATAATGTTTTTTAATCTTTTTAAAGCATATTTATTAGATGCTAATTATAGATAATAAGAAATGTTGAATGTGAAATTATATGTCATTGATACCTCAACGTAAACAAAGAAGTATTTTGATATCAATTCAAAATTCTAAATCACTTAAACTATTTAACTGTATGTTCAAAAAGTATTTTTCGGAAAATGTTACAGGACCAAAAAAGGGTTTATGAGAAATGAAATATTGTTTATGTTAAATGAGTCTTTAAATGGCTCGTCTGATAAAACAATTTACACAAATAAAGTTTGGCAAATCAATCATCAATATATCATAAGGCAAGCAAAATCTTTAAATATTAGAAGATCTAACCCTACTCTAAATTCTCCGCAGTTTCACTCGGCACTTGAACGCTATTATTCCGTTTACCTTTAAATCTTATTACATATTAGTTGCCTGGCAACTATACAGAATATAGTAATTAGTAAGATTTCTTAATTTACAACAATTGATATATTATCACACTTAAAGAACGTTTCTCACGGTCATTTACTTGCCAGAATATATATATTATGAAGACACAATCCCATTACCACAGGTCCCAGACCAATTTCTCTTACAACCACTCATCAACCATTTGAATATTTTATTATTATAATAACTCGACAAATAATTACTAGGGCAAATTTTGGACAAATTTCCGTATATGTCTTTGTTGCTACTGATTTTCGAGTCGTTATGGATTTTTATTTTTCAATTAGCACGTGCTTGCGAGCACGGTGAAGATAATTTCCCAAGATTTGACCAATCTTTCCCAGTGTCATTAGTTAACGCAGGTGAAAACGATGTGTTACATGGCCTAAGAAGCCTGGGAATACAAGAAAATTAGGGAATTTTACCAACCTTTCGAAATAATTAATGCTCTGGGCGCAAATCTTGCTTACGGGGATATTTGCTAGATAATTAATAATAAGGATTAATTATTAAGACACCGAAATATGTAACATAGGTGATAATAAGAAAATTACTCTCAAGTATGTAAAGTTACAAAAAGTAATTGCAATTGAAAATTAGCAATGCTAAACAACACAAAGGAATGCATCGGAAAAGTTTAGAAGAAAGTTGATTGAATTAAATAGTCGATCAATTATAAGTGATTAAAGGTGATTGGCAAAGAATAGATCAAAACCATTTTCAATTTCGCCGGTTCAATGATCCGTGCATGGCGACACATTATAGCAGACGACAATAGCACGTAAATGGACAACAAAAAGGCGCGTGCTAATGTTTTCTTTGATAACAATAAATCCTTGAAATAAAGATAGGATCAATCGATTAGAGGTGATGATTTTAGGAAGAGGGGTCTAATCCCTTTGTATTTTACTCTCAGGTCTAAATTATTTTATTTGACCGTACACAATATACCAAATGAGAGTAATCCTTCAAAAAGGAAGACAAAATGGCCGTGGCGTCCACTACAACGATTGTGTATTCGTTTGTCTCCGCCAATGTTCGTAAGATAACTAAAAACTGATTGAATACGTAACGTGAGTTCTTTAATCTATTCATTACCCGACGATTGATACTAATTAACTTGTTTTCAACCTGTTGCCGCTCATATCTTCATGCAATCAAGACAATCTGATGTTTTTGTGATGAACCGTGAATAAGATGTATGTAATTTAACAGGCGCCATTAATATAATTATCCCCCCTGCTGAAACTCTTCTTTGGTGGAAATTCTTAGTTCCGGACAGGTCTAAGAAGTAGCTAAATCGGTTTCAGATGAAATCATTATCGTCTCTAAACGGTCTCTCGAGTACAAATGAAGATGAAAATGACCGTCCGTAAGGGTTTTATAGCTATTAAATTGGCTTCAATCTGGACAGAGTGCAATCGCGTTATTTCTCTTCATTTAACACGAAGGTGAATATATTATACGCGAAGATAAGTTAGATAACTGGTCAAGATTAAGATTTCTTTAACTTGATTTACAGGATTTTAATTACTTAGACATACTTTACATCCCTGATCAGCAATCATTTCCGAAAAACAAAATAGTTAGGATTTTCGAGAGATTTTCGTTTAAATGTTTTGATGTTTTGATAATTTAAATCTTAAAGAATTAAATATTTCTGATTCTTTTCTTCAGATTCTCTCCTGGATGACAACGGCGTGAGACGATACAGGACGGCATTTAGCCGAGAACAAATTGGCCGACTGGAAAAAGAGTTCTTTAAAGAAAACTACGTATCCCGACCACGACGATGTGAACTAGCTCAAGAACTCAATCTTCCAGAGAATACCATAAAGGTAAAGATCATTTATGATAAAATATCCATTTAGTATTCGACTAGCTTAGAAAATTTGAGACAACGCTTTATATTTAAAAACTGGGACCCAATAAATATTTATTTTTGGTCCCAGATAGAAATATTAGAAAAATGAAATTAGATATAATAAAAATGTTGTTAGTTATTATTATTTTTAATTTTCAACAGTATTGCTTATATATTTACCGCTGGACATTTTTTAAAAGTTATTATAGCAATTTAAGGGGTTTTAATCTATTCCATCAAAATATATAGTAAGCATCCATGTGAGACAAAAAAAAACAAAAACAACAAAAACCTATTAATGTAATTAATAAAATAAAATTTTGAAATAATTTTCAAACTTTAAGAGAGAGAGAGAAAAAACCACCTTGCATTTACAAGATGCATTTAGCATGTCTAAATCTTGTGGGAATTTTGAAAATGTTTCTTCCCCTTTTCCTTTGATGACCCATTTGGCGACGTTTAATAAGGCTAATTTGTTGAATATCACGTTTTAACATCGAAATTTGGTTTTGTCTTTTTATTGCGCACATTCAAAAATTAGAGAATTTAAACATGGCCATTCCCCTTCTTTGAGCTGTATGATAAAATCTTTCAATTATCAGGGTAAAATGTCATAAATGGTGCGAATAATGATTTTATGGGATTCATAACTGTTTGTTAATTTTATTCCCGAAAATTTGATGGTTGCCGTTCATAACCGAGCGTCTTTTTGGCTTTAATTTGAATGTCGACATATGTGCGAGTCTTTTTACATTATGAATAATTTAACAGATTTTCTTTTCGTAAATTATACGTAATTATTGAAAGCCCATCAAAAAAATTATCGCTGTAACTACTACATAATTTCAATATGTTTTGATTTTAGTTGATAGTGAAAAAAAAAATTGATCGTTTGAATGTATAAAATTTACACTTTCTTAGATAGTTTTCGTCGCATTAAATGGAAGATAAAAGTAAAGATAAAAGTTAAGCGCAAACAATTAGGAGACTTTCTTTTCTTTGCCTTTAATATTTTCGAAGTTACGCACAAATGAATTAATTGAACATGTAAATAATAACAATAAGATTTTTTATTTTGATTTTATTTCTATTTTTTTATTTTCGTATTATTTTCTAGGTATGGTTCCAAAACCGACGCATGAAGGACAAAAGACAACGTATGGCTATGGCTTGGCCCTATGGCATCGCTGATCCACATTTGTACGCCTACCTTGCCGCAGCAGCTGCCTCCTACCCATATGGACTCCCTCAGTCATCACCAGTCGGTTATTATAATACTCTCGGACTTTCTCGTCCATCTGTACCAACAGTATCACCACCTGTGACGTCACCGAACATTGGAACGCTCGGACAATATCCATTTCCAAATCCACTGCGCCCGAGACCGGAAGCGCTTCCGGGAATGTCGTCTGCGTTTCTCAGCCGATCTCCTACCATGTCTCATCATACTCCATATCACAGTTCACCTCTTCTCAGCGGGCACACTGTACACAGAGGCCACCCATTAGACGGAAGCCCACAGTTGATGAACACAAGTGGTACACTGAACTCTAGCGGCGGATCAATATCTCCATCTCTAGAAGACACTTCGATAAACTCTGTCCACCATGGAATAAATCCACTATCCAGCACTCCATCCTCACCGAACCATATATCACCGAATTCCACTTCGCCGGCATTACCTAGCCCACAAACCATTACCAAAGCGCCCTCTTCCGGCCAGACGAGTACTGCACCAGCTCTGTTCCGCCCATTTTAACAATGTGAAACGAAAAGCATTAAACTGTGTGAAACAAATTTATTTACTTACAGTAAAGTTATGACAGCGCATAATAATATTAATATTTTAATGTTTTCAAACTGAAGTATGCACTTCTTATTTACAGTGCACGTGCACAATGATGGTATACGGAAGCTGGGTCATACGAGTTATTTTTTTTATTTGTTAAACTTTGTTAACACTTTTTATGTTGTTATACGTGTAAATAAATTCTAATTTGAAAATTTAATATTTTGTATGTTTTTTTTTTCATTTATTTTTTAATTATTTTTATTGTGTTCAATGTACAACTCCAATTCAGTGCTTAAAATAAATATTACGTTTCTATTCTATCACCATTTCAAACGAAAACTATCATTTAGCTTTATAAAACTATAAGATTTTAGTTACAATAAAACCAGAAAGAATTATATTAGTCCATTCAAAGTCTGAATATTTTCAATCTGACTAACGTTTCGATCTTCTTATGTTTACATGTGTATCGAGTCCCAATAATTTAAATATGGATGAGGAAGAAAATGACATTTTTATATTAGAATCGAAATGTTTCCAATGACGATATTTCTAAACAAAATTGTGTGATATACCGATAATGCATATCTGCCATTACCTCATCCCGTTTTTCCAGACCAATCATTTTTTTATGCAAAAGCGAAAGGACAAAAACTGAAAAGCCCTGCAACGCCTTTCACTCAATTCGGCTAAGAATGGTACAGAAATCGACTTTTGATATAATTTTGAATATACACAAGTCTGGACTGACACTGGAAACCGTTATATTACGTATGGGGAAAATAAGACGAAAATGTTATCTTATAATATTGTAATTGAAATGTTTCCAAAGATGGTTTTTTTTACTAGATAGAGTTTTATGACAGAACGATCCATTTCTTCATACGGCAAGACCTTTATAGAAAGGCCAGGGAAAGTATAGAGGGCATGTAAACCCTTTAAAATGGTTAAAATTCCAAATATTAATAAAAACATGTTAATACAAATGCTTGTCAATGACCTGCAGTTAGAGATTGTGTACAAGTTAGAGATTGTATACAATGTGGTTTTGATGATACAGAGGTGATCTTTTACATAAGGTTGAAAAACTTTTCTTGAAATTGCAAATACTTCTGAAACATTATTCAATCATAAAATAAGTTCTATGATATTTAATACAGTTTCAGAACACGGACAGAAAACCTGTTTTTAAAGGCCATCATTTCATTTTCAAATTTGTTTAACTTATGAGCAATGTGACTTGATTATATAGGTAACAAATGTCAGCAAAACATTTCAAAATTACAGTTAAGCTAAGTTTTACCCCTAGATCTGTTTTAGTGTAACAAGGTCTTGAAACTAAACATTTGCATCTGATTTTTCGGTAGAACTCTACGCTGGGTTTCATAATCCATCGGACAATAACGAAATAGAGAATATGATTCTTTCCCCTTTTCTTTCATTAAGATAGAAATTTGTATCATTTTGATGTAAGGATTTATTTGGTTTCTTTCACAAAATGTTGAAACATGAATCACTCTCTGACTTTTGCACGCTATATTCATTGTACTTTTGATCTACCTATGTTAGACTATTTAAAAAAGACATAACTTTTCGACAGACATCTAAAACCGATTTTATGGAGACATAATCGTAAAATTTAAAATGTGATAATCGATTCCCGCCGTTTTTAATTTTACTTTGATGAAAACTTTCAATTTGTTAACAAATTCTTATCCACCTTGATCTACGTACTGATTACATATTGAAACTTATTGCGATATTGTAACCTTTGGCAAAAAGTTGTTTTTATAACCAACAGACACTGCTTAATGGTTTATTGCCCTCTATCATGGCGAAATCATTGTTATTATCCGCCATGATCTCTTTACATCTTAAACACCGCTCATTGCCTTATGTACCTAAACATAAACACGTATGTTCGAAATTCCTAAAATGTGTAATTTAGAATAGGTGGGCAGTAAAATTTACAAAATATCAATTGTGCATTACGTCGATAAAAGGCCCGCAGTGAATACTGCTGAAAATTGATAGTCCCGCACTGATTGTTTGCTTCGCCGTTTATTGGTCAGTCGGAACAATGTTAATTATCCTTTATTATCCACGGAGATGGTCATCATCAAAGAGAAGGTTATATGGGCTTTAATCACATTAGTGAAGATAAAAGAGAAATTTGACTTCTTCCACTTGTGTGGTGTAAATTAAATCATGCCATGATGACAATTAACGACGTAATTACGTCCCTTGGGAAGAGTTACCTGCCTTATCTCTTACTCAACGTGGAAAAATAGGCCTAGACCTAGGCGATCGCTTTATTACTAAACTCTTTTCTACATCTGAATCATCTGATATTATAAATTCATTTCTGCAGTTTATGTTATTCTCCCCGTCTTTAAAATAATATGCGTTTCTTAAAATATAAAATGAAAAATGGTACAGCTTAGTGGTACACTTTGATCGTTGTCAATTTATGGTTGATTCCAACAGGGAGAATATTACTCCATGATTTCATAAGATGTGAAATAAATGTATGTTTGGTAAAAAATAAGTTACTAGCATATTATGAGGAATACCTTACAACTAATCGTAGATGTTGTTTATATCAGATAAAATATAGCTCTGTGCTTGATATAAGGAGATTCTATATATTCAAATCATTAAATATAACTTGTTGGGATTGAATTTCTACTAAACAGAAAGGTTACATTTGACTTAGGTTAATACATGTATATGAAATATATTGGCCAATGTTTTTAATGTGCTATAGAAAATTAGAAGTACGGATTTAAACAAATAAAAAAACAGATAAAAGCAATTTAGTTTGTGTACATTATTATGTATGGACCATAGTTTTCTTTTTCTCTTCTAGCGTTCGTTTCAACTAGAATTCAATATTGTACAGTAGTAAAAACAAGTGTACACAGTTCGTTATATCAAATCAAACAATATTGATGATCAAATGAAGATATTAATCACCAATCCGTCTAATAAACTCCCCTTTTTATCCGAACTATAAACAATACAATTCAATTGTCTCGCAGTTAATCATGATCGCGAAGATTGGCGCATATCACACCAAAACAACTGCAGTTAAGTTATTAATGTCGGAATTTAAGTTTAAGGACATGTAAAATGCGTTGACTTTAGTTGTGTGATTCGTCTATGATCAATCATATAAATAATTAATTTTCAACATTTTGTTTATAGGGTTTTATATCGCTGCATAATTATGAGTTTATTTCCCTTTGATCAAAATGTTTTTAGAACGTATTAATAACCGACGTGAAACTGTCGCGCGGGAATGATTTAGTGTACTATTCTAATTTGAGGAGGATGTGCTCAATGGCAGATATATACATATTTTTAGCAAATTAATTAAAGGCCCATAAAGTATTAAATGAATCATTCGTCTATTGAAATTATATGTAAATATTTGGAAAAAAATATTTATATCTATGTTTGATGAAAGACCTAGCTTTACTTTAAAGACAAGAAATGCATTGTAATAATCCATAAAGAGTTTATTAGCAATAACTGGAAATGTCGAAGGCAATTTGCAATAAATTGAAATGTCGAACGGATGGGAGATTGTCAACTTAACAATGAACGATTTGTCCCAGTTCACCAGCTAGCTTTATTGTGTAAGCTTCATTCTCAATACCGGCAATCGTCCGGCATGTTACAAAATAATTTTCGATTGACAAGTGTCGCTGTCGTAGAGAGAAACACGCACTGTGCCACGGCCATAGTTTCAAGTACGATAACTCGGTAGTCGTTCGTTATTTATGTTTAGGAACAGTATAAATATTCATCTATCTGTGACCTCCGATATGTATCGATGAATCGGTAAACTAGTATGCGATTTGAAGACTGTCTACGCCCAGGCGATTTTTGCCGCGGCCGTAACTAAATCAACGAATTAATCCATACTATTTTCCATATCTGATTGCAGGTTGTCGACGTTTCAAAAATTTAGTACCGGGGTCATAGTTTGAACAAGGTTATGACTCTGTCGTAGAGCCAGTACTCGGCCTCTTAGTCTTAAACAGATTTGTGCCGAAACCATAGTTTGAAAATGAAAAGTCTTAGACTCTAAGGAATTGGGTTTTTTTTATTTCATGGTTGATTGATCTTTCCTGTTTAGAAATAAACTATGATAGTTAAACAAAGCATTTAAAATGAAATGAAAAGAGCGTATTCTTCTTCAACATTTTGTGGTTTTACGAATTCAATATAGATACATGTACATCTATCTTTTTTTTTCTTGTTGTTGTTTGGTCAGGGCAATTTTAACAAAACATGGAAACAACTTAGGTGGGTGATTTCGATTAATATAAAACCTTAAAAGTTTGGCGAACAAAATTCAATACCAACATTTCTAGATAAATGTACTTTAAGCTCAAATAGAAATAGACTGTTTAAGTGACTGGTACAGTAATTGTTTTTTAAACTTTTAGAAATGGTAAAGTAACTTTTTGTGAAACGGTAGCGTAACTGTTTTGAAATTGGCCAAGTTAAGATAAGATAAGATAAGTTTTATTTCAAGTCGGCAAGTTTTCAACAGTACAACATAAGCTCTAGGAGCTTTTATAACCGACTGTATATAACATAAAGTATAAGATCAACAAAGATAAAACAGCTACAATAAAAAAATGATTAGACATGATATATATACATCACATACATAAATTTAAATAGACCTTTTTAGATATTTTTATAAAAATGAATCAGATGCTAAAAACTAAATGATAGTTAACCCAATTCTACATCATTAGCTTGTATATTAAACTATGCTTACAATGTCTAGTATCTAAAAATTTTACTTAAAATTCAATAATGTACCGATTTAACAAGTTATTTTTTATTTTTTTCAGGAATTGGTAAAGTTGTTGTTTTAGAAATGGAAGAGTAACTGTTTCAGTTTATTGGCATAGTAGCTGTTTCAAATATTGGTAAAATCACCGTTTTAAAAATTGTCCAAGTTACAGTTTCAAAAATGGAAAAGCAACTGTTTTAAAGTCTAATAAACCAGTACTTCACTATTTGTAAGATAATCAATTGTTTCAGAAACTGATAAACTTCCTGAAATTGGTCAAGTACCATTTTTCAGAAATAGTAAAAATTCGGTAATATATGCTCTTCTTGAAGTTATTTCTTTTGTTTACTTGAAGTATTGACTGTTACACCCATATGTGGACCACAGATGCGTCACTTGGA